GTATCACTCCAGGTGTTTGTCATTCTATCTTGTTAGTGTCTGTATTTATTCAGTGTTCTTGTGTCTTTTCATTTGTCCGTGGATTGTCCTGGGAAGTCTGTTATGTTCTGTCTCCCTCCGTGTCTCCTGTCCTGTCAGCTTTTGTTTTGTTGTTGTTGTAAATAAATGAGTTCATTATTTTACTTCCGGGTCTATGTTGTCTGCCTGCACGTGGGTTCAACACCAAAAAACTGTAGAAACACGATGTAGTTCAACAAAACAATGCAGCAGTTAAAACATCTCTGACTGAAAGTGATGTAATTTTACTCAGTCTACTGCCTAAAATAAAGCTGACATGTGTTTGAACAATAAATGAAACATTTTCCCAACGCACATAAACACAATTAAATCACAGCTTCTCTTAGTTAATCTGCAGGAGCCCTTCCAGTTCAACTTACACAAAGTTTCAAAACAGACATTAGACTTGGAAAAAAAAAAGTCTGCTGATAAAAGCAACTAGCCTAAATACACTTCCTCCCTCTCTCTCTCCCTCTCTCTCTCCCTCTCTCTCTCTCCTCCCTCTCCCTCTCAGGTCTTATCAAGCACTGAATAACTTTTCACCTAAACTCTCACTCTGCCATCACGTCCGTCACTCATTGCCAAAGAGGCAGGCTGTTAAAAAACATACAGGCTCTGGCAAAGCTCAGACACTTCTCCGTGTGTGTGCTGGTGTTTGTGTTCTGCCACTTTGAATTTGTGTTTACTTGGTCATTCTGCTACTCATCATTTGCAAATCTTAATTTCCCATAAGCTTATTTTGCTGCAGCCTTCAGGTGTTTTGTCATTGCTCTGACTTTTGACCTCTAACTTATTTTTTTAATTTTTATGTAGTTTCACTCTTTAACCAGATCAGCGAAACACAGAAAAATGAATCCATTATGTTTTGAACCACACATTTGTGGTAGTTTATTTATTGTTACATGCTGTATCTGTATGCGTTGGGTGTGAAATTAATCTTTGATATTGTTATCAGCTCCATGGTGTTGAGGGAGGTGTGTAGAAGACCCGCTGCAGCTCTGACCTACTTGTGGCACTGAATTGGCTGCATGACGGCTGTTTTTATTGTGTGTGTGTGTTTGTTAAAGCTTGGACTGGTGTGTGTGTGTGCATGATTGAAAAAAAAAAAAAAAAAAAAAAAAAGCTCTGTACAGACATGGGGAGTCTGAGAAACTAGGTGTTTTGACAGCTTTAGAATAGTTCCAGTACAGATCTGGGGCAGGGGTTATGTGGGCCTGTTGGACATTCAGGTGAGGTGGAGAGGTGAGTGCAGGGTCAGTTGGGGGGAGTGGACAGGATCGGATCAGATGAGTGCAGGCGTGTTCTCCTAAAATGCATCATTAAATTGATACATGATATCTGTTTCTTGTTATTGAGGAAACTGAGGATATCACTTGAAACACGGCCAAGTGAGCCTCAGTTGCACAACAATACAAAGACTTTACTGAAACACCAGCAGCTGAAACTGGATATGACAAACTCTTCAGGTGGAAGAATGAAACACAGCACAGGGAGGAAGCAAACACTTTTAGACCTAAAGCAAGACTTTATGTTTTCTGACTGTAGCCCTTTTTTGAGGCAAGATCAAAGGTTATAATACATTTTAAAGTAGACAGTATCTTAATTCTTGGGAGATTTTTAACAAGTGATTTGCGTAAAGCTTAAAATTCTAAAGAAAAAAAAACCTTTAATTTTTGCTTTCATTATCCATCCATCCATCTATCCATCCATTATCTTTTACCCGCTTCTTCTGTTCTGGGTCGCGGAGGTCACTGGTGCCCATATCCAACTATCACTGTGCCAGAGGTCGTGTACACCCTGGACATGTCTCCAGTCCATCACAGGGACACATAGAGACAAACAAACATTCCCTCTCTCACGCACACCTAGGGACAATTTAGAGTTACCAATCAGCCTAACATGCATGTTTTTGGAGACAACCATGCATGTTTTTCTGGAGAAAATCAACGCATGTACGGAGAGAACTTGCAAACTCTACCTAGAAAGGTGCCAGGCCGGGATTTGAACCAATGGCTTTCTCGCTGAGGGGCAACAACTCTACCAACTGAGCCATCGTGCCGCCCTTTGCTTCCATTAACTTATCTAAAAGGAAAAAAAACAAAAAACTCATTAAACCCATTACCTTACGCAGTGTGATGTAACATTTTAAACCAATGCTTCTCCAACTTTTCTGCTTTCGAGCCACAAAATTAAAAGCTTCAGAGACTCATACTGCTGAAGTATACCAATACAGTATTGCTAATAAGATAGTTAACAGGGAGTTTGATAAATCATACTTATTTTTAATGCATTTATGACCATAATTTTATATATTAGTAACAGTTAGGACTAAATATGCCATTTGCAATCATTTTCAATGTTTATATACCTTCCATAGAGCTTCTTGTGACCCAGCACTTGTTGTTTCATGACCTGAAGTGGGGCCCCAACTCACTATAACTACCTGCAACTCAGTCCCACACTATGATTATCCCACTACCATGCTTTAAAGTAGGAGATGCATTTATTCTCCAACTGCCTGCATGCCTTTTTTCTTCAAACATTACCTTCACTGGCTGACATACGAACAATTTTGTTTTTATTTATTAACAAAAGAACATCCCAGATCTGTATAAATAGTGAATGCTGTGATCAAGACAGAAAGATGATGACTCCTCCATTGTCTCTACATTCTCTGAAGGTGTTTTACAGTCACCTGTTTTAATTAAGTATTAACCGTAGGTCTAAAAGTGGTTTAAAGTTACTTATTTCTCATGTATGACACAATAATAATATGTATAAGTCCATCTTTGTTCAAAACTGAGGACGCCACTGTACTTGTTAAACATATTTGTATATTTTTTGACATAAAAATAAATGCTTTCAATCTGATCTGAACAAATAAAATAAAACATATTGTTAATAGGATAATATCTCACGAGCTGAATTCATAAGGTGTCCCAATGGAAGGACGATGTGTTCAAAGCAAGATCTCAGCTCATTCTCCTAACTTTAATCTCAGTGAAATAAGAGGCTCTGGTAGAATAAAAGGCCGATAAAGCTGAAAACACAGTCCTTTTTGTTCTACTGTAGCTGAAAAGGCCAGACATCACCTCAGACTGTGCTCTTTAAGAGTTCTCACACAAGTTCACCTCTTGAACAAAAGAAGCTGCCTCTCCACAGTCCTAAGCCCTCTTGGTGCCAGTGGTGCCGAACCCCTGCTCTCTCCAACAGCATTCCAGCACATCTTTCATGCTGTCTCATTCTGGTCATGCCAGCTAGGTCAGAGGGCAGTGTTTTCTCAGGCCTGCAAGACAACACTGAACAAATTCATAATGATAATAGCAAAGAAAATACATCCGTTGTTAATTTAACCCTGTTTTTATGTGTGTGTTTGTGCTATTTTTTTTTCTGCACCATGAAAGCATGCATCTTTTCCAGACTGCAGAGGTGTAGTGAAAAGCATTTATCATCATGTAACATTAGCTATAGCATGGCATCAGTACATTTAGGTCTACACAGAAATGCTAGCATCCACAGCTATAATTTATTGCTATAGTTTTTTTTTTTTTTTTGCCTAAAATGAAATGATTGTTGTTCTGACTGGCTTTGAGTGAAAGCACTGACCTACTGTGGCCTACCATCTTTGTTCCCCTGGGATCACTACCCAATTGTACCAGTAGATGTCTGTCTTGAGTCTTGCAGTCACTGAAGCAAGTTAGCTGTCCTCCAGCATCCACACTTGACCACCCACTGCAGAGCCTACAGAATGAGTCGATTCATAAAACGTTGTATAAGAGAAACTCCACATTCACCTAACATGAGCTGCAAGTGTGAATAGTTGCTCTAACAGATAAACTCAAGCATGCAGATGCAAAGCTATGAAATATGAAACAGGACTGACAGATGAGCTGCATGAGAGTTTGTGGTTCATGTTAACATTTCAGAAATAAACTCATAGACTGTAAAAGAGGGTAGGTAATTTCTGTGCTCCAGTCAATGGTATACATTTTTGTACTGGTTTCAGAGGAGACAATGAGGTAGCATCTATGCCTGATCCCTTATGAGAACTATTCCGTCGTCAACCTTTATTTATACAGGTTAGTCTCACTGAGCCTCGAGGACTCATTTACAAGAGAGACCTGTAAACCTGTAAATGTATCATGTTTTGCTCAACAATGTTATTATATAGTTGTAATGTGTTTTTGTTTGAGTTATGTTACAGGTGCAATTAACCAAAATTAAAGAAAACAATAATTTGAAAGATATTTATGGATTAAAACATTTCTTTTTACGATTTATTTTTAAGGTAGTTGTTTAATTATTTTAATCAGAGCCTGTCCTTTGTTTCTGCCTTAGCCTTGATCCGTGAAGGCGTCTGCAGCCAGTCCAAAGGTGGATGAGAGCTCTAATAATTAAAGCGCATGTTTAATGCAGTACTGGAGTTAACAGGAAAAAAAAAACAGTTTCTGGGCGGGCATGTTTTCAGTTCTGTGCACGGTGATTGGCTGTGATTCCTGCTTTGTTGAGAGATCTTCAAGTGTTCCTCTTGAGCTCCAACATCCTCCACTTTAAGTATTCTATTTAGCTTGATCAGATGGGTTATTTGTATTTGTAATACTAGTATTACTTACGAAAAAGCTCGTTGAGAACTGGTCGAATATATATATAAAAAAATCAAATTATATAGAAAACAAGACAAAAATGCAAATATATTGGTTGCAAAACAGTTCTAAAACAGTGAAAATAACCTCTTATAGCTTATGTTTGTCATTATTTTATCCGTGATCTCTAGTTTTTTTTTTTCCTGTGTGCCATTATCAAACATCTGGACTGCAGTGTGGTGAAGGAATGCAGTTTTGAAACGCCAATCTAAGTCCGAAGTATGATTTCTCCCGCCGACATTGAACGCAACATAATGTGATTTTGGCGGCCAGTGTGGTGACGCGCGGCTGTGGGGGCGTGTCTCTGATGAAATCAGCTGGGGCAACAACAACACAAAAGGGGGTGGCTCAGACTAGAACAATCGCTCGGCTGGGAATGTTCATGTTTGACTTAGAAAACGAACGAAAATATAAAATAAAATAAACAAAGTGTCCGCCCGGAAATCGAGCAGCACCGGATCGAAAATCTGCAGCAGCGAGTCCTAAATATACTTGTTGATCTCTGGGTGACGCTGACTAGAGGAGGCAGCTTGGGGAAGAAACAAAGGGAAGGAAGAGGAGGAGGATGTTTGGGGGCACAAGTCCTGTCTGCAGCTCGATGTGCTCCGTGAAGAACCGGATCGCCGCGGTCACCGCTTCCTTCTCCACGCGCCTCTGTCCGGTTGAGTGACCGGCCGAACCACCAGCAGTCTGGCATGTGGGTCAATTCCGGAACCGTCGGAAGGTAGGGACCCCTGCTGCTGCAGGCACACCAAGGGTCACATGTTATGCACAAAGCGACCCCCTCCCTCCCCACAACGCTGCATATTTCTCCCACAGAATCTACTGCTGTTTATACTTGTAAACCTAAAATAGTTTAACTTCCTTTCATATTGCATTGATAACCATATCATTACCTTGTATGGGTTCTTAAATTTAACAGGCATCTCAGTGATGCATGACGGAATCACGTGCTGCAGAGACTGCTGAGCTGCTTGTAAATAAGAATCCATCGTCATTGTGTGGCGGATGGGCTTGGCACATTACGCAACACTTAGCGCATCATTTTTGAGATGCAGGACATGCACCTGCCTTTAAGAACAGCTAAAGGCTTTAATGCATGCAGTTTAGCTTTTCACAATGTATGGAACAAAACAAACAATAGATGGCCATGTCTGCTGAGTCAAATTAGAATAAAATAAAGTGAATGAATGAGCCAGGTGTATGAATGGCTGCAGGGAGCAGGAGGGAGGGAGGTTCTTTTCATTGATGAGTGTAGTCACTCAACACCAGGCTATTTGCGGATCAGAACTGTCTGTGACAAAAGGTGCAAAAGCTTGGAAAAGACCACAGACGCACACGCACGCACACACACTTTTGTAGCTCACACTGTAACGTTGATCCTTTGGCCATGACGTCACCAAAGTGATTGTGTTACGCAGGTAGATGAGGATGTGGGGTGTTGGGGGCTCTCACTTCCACCTGGTCATTAATGAATAATATTCTGCTTGAAGTGTGCTCCTCTAACCACTCCCTTACTGTCTGCAATGATCATATCTGCAGAAGTTGCATAAAGATTTGGCTGCAAAGCAGTATTGTATAATTCTTGTCTTAATGTTATGCCAAAATCTGCATCATTCCCAACCCCAAAATATGTCTATTAATGGCTCATCATATAGAAAAAAACAAAACACTAACTTGTAGCTAGTATTGTTACTCCTAGACAAATTCCTTCTTAGATCCCACGTGCAAAGCTGGTAGAATTTGGATCCCATTTTTCCTGCATTGTTACATGGATTTGTAATAGGGTTCACTATTATTCTGATTAGTCATATAGCTTTGTGTGTGTGTGTGTGTGTGTGTGTGTCAGCAGTGTGGCGATAACAATGTACAGTACTCACAAACCCACATGGAAGAGTGAGCCTGCATTTTATGGCTGGCTTCAATGTTTTGACCCCTCTAACAGGCTGCAGTGAAGATACACAAAGGTAATAGAGCTTAAAATTGTGTTTATGCTTTTATGTGCTTGTTATTTTTGCTCTAAGCACAGTGTGTTATGTAAAGGTAGAGGTTTGGGCATCTAAAAGGAAAAAAAAATAAAATTAAAAATCAGCACCGGTGTGGTGTTAGTGTCCAGGTTGCTTCTGAGTTTTACGTTCAAAAGTCCCAATATTTCTTTTAAGTGCTGTGAATAAAGTTTAAAGGGATTTTATGTTCCCAAAATAATGGATTCATTGGAATTGCAAAAATTTTGGGAATTTTCCAAGTTGGAAACTTTCCGTGGGATTTAATGTTAATAAACCTTAAATAAAAAATACTATTTTTTTTTATTTTTTTTGCATAATATTGATTAAACAAACCACATTTTATTGATATACAGTATAATGAAAGGTACCACACCCTATAACATGATTACCTATCTCCCTGGACATATAGTTGCAGATGGAATTAGTAACATGTAAAAAACGTGTATTTCAAAGCTGCAAATTGTTTTGCTGTGAAATGAAGTTTAATCAAATTTGTTTTGATTTTGCATTTAAAAAATGACGACAAAAGCCCAAAATATTGAGCAAATGACATGTAAAAGTTGTCCAGAGTTGGCCCTTTGTCTGTGCGTAAGTTTAGGCAATTAAATTATGTTTTGTGAAATGCAATGCACTGATTCTTAGGGTAAGTGAATACAATGAAATGATATTGTAAAAATATTTTGTAAAAAGTTGTGTACATTAATTAAAAAAAATAATTACAACATCAACGAGAGGAAGAACTGTAATAAATCAATCAATTGATCTCTAATAGTTGTGTGGTTGTGCAATGTCTTCATATGTAAATGAGGACGTTAAAGCTTAAAACTTTAGTTATTTGCATCTGTGACGTTGCAGTGTCAGCCACTGGTTCATTGTTTTAATCGTCCAGAGTGCTTTGACTTGTTTTGAACAAAAGTCCCCCTTTTGAATTTTGACAATTATTTTCTTGAGGAAAGAAATGCCATTGCATCAAAACATAAAAAGTCAGTGTCTTACAGAATGAACGTTAAAAAGAAAAGAAAAAAAATAAATAAATAA